GGGGCTGGGGCCGGACTCGGCCTGGCCGCCCGCGTGCTCCTCGCTGGGCCCGCGGGCGAGGCCAGGCGCCTCCCGCCCCGCAGCGCAGACTCGTGGGGCGGGAAGGGGCCTCCAGAGGCCGCTAGTGCAGCCAGCACCAGCCCTGTCCAAGTCGTCCCTGCAGCTGATCATCTGCCCGCGACATGAGACTAACGTCAGCCCCACGAGTCAAGCAGGTCCTGCTCCTGTAACGTCTAGTTAACATGCACGCAAGAGGTCGCAGTCGGAGGGCCCCCGCTACCATCCCTACCAGTCTGACCGTGGGGTAAAATTCCTTGCTGACCCCTAGTACGCCGGTCGGTCTGACCCTGAGCAGATAGTCCCTGCCCCTAAGGCTGGTCGAAAACAAAAACACACTTTACCTGAAGAAGCAGTGTTTGGTTCAACCCCACTTCACAGCATCTGTATAGATCGGGCGCTTTAGTGGGTGCACTTTTATCTACAGCTGATTCAACCAGCTGTTAGATAACAGTGCCAAAAAGGCCCATTAAGGTGCCTGATCTGTACAGAAGTTGGGGGAGCCAGGTCCAACTAACGTGTTGCCTTTTCTGCACATGCACTGGGCTCAATGCAGGGGCACACAGAGTTTAAAGTAAAGCACTGATTTTGTGGGGGAATTACTTCTATAAGCAGCTTAAGTGCATATACTCAAGAGGAGGCAGTAGGTGGGGTGCTGACCAGTGTGGAAGACAAGGATATAACAGGCTAAGCTTTGTCAAGGTTTTTGTAAGTCCTGAGGAAAGGAGTCTTTTAACAGTGAGAACAATGAAGTGGCTTTGCAGGTGCTTACGGGAAGCTCTTCCCAGGTGTAAGGGACAGCCAAAAGGAACAAAGGTGTGTGTCTAATGCAGCCTGAAGTCATGTGCTAGGTGGAGCCTGGAGTCGACCTCAGCATTGCATGAGAGCACAGGAAGGATGAGGATCAGTTGGAGGGCTTTGAAAATGCTGGCAAGCAGTGTACGTTGGATGTGACAGAGAAGGGGGAAACCAGAGAGAGAGACTAAGATTTTTAGTATAGATAAGAAAGCAGTCCTGTAGTAATAGGTGGAGTTGTGAATTGTCTGTGTAGAGACAGTAGTTGCATTTGTGTTTGTGGATGAGCTTTACCCAAAGATAAGTGAGCGAGGGAGAAAAATGAGCCCCAAAGAAAGAGCACTATGAAATGTAATTTCTCCCATGACTGCAAATTCAGCAGTCTGCGTTTTTTGTTTTAGTGCAGCCAAAGTGGGTAATAATAAGACAGTTGTGAGAAGAGATTCAATCCTCAGACTGGGTACATGCTTGTAGTTCGGGGTGGGCAAAATGCGGCCCCAGGGACTAGATGCGGACCGCCAGGCCATTCTGTCTGGCCCGCAGGGCCCCTAAAAAATTTAGAAAATTAATATTTATATGCTCCTGGCTGCCTATCATGCGGCCCTCAATGGCTTGCCAAAACTCAGTAAGCGGCCCTCCGCCCCTGCTATAGTTGCCCACCCCATTATAGTTCCTCTTATGGTACCATACAGAATCCAGGTGAAGTAGTCCATAGGAGGTTGGCTACATGGGTTCAGGAATCATCTTGCACTTGTGGGATCAAGCCCAAACCTCCTAACTGGATCCTATATTATCCCATTAGAGATGGCAAATGGATAGCTGCATTTACAAACCAATACAAAATGATGTTGAAAGGATGTCCATCCCATCCTCTTTTCAAACTCAGCACGTTCTGAGGAAGAGAGCTCATCATTTTTACCTTGCAAGTTTTCATCCCAATTTTTTCTGTCAATAGTCCTTTTTTTAGTTTCTGTTATCCAAGCTTACAACCTACACATGCTTAGTTATTGTTCCCCCTTCCTCTTTCACTAGGCTTTCAGTCCTTCTACCTCTTTTGTCATCACCACTATCTAGTCTTTCCCATTTCTAGTGCCAAGATATTATTAGTAATCTCTGATTTCAGCTGCTTCTACAGTCTCCTAATTTTTCTTTCCCCACTAACTAAGTCCATTCACAGGGCTGCTACAAAGGTCATCTTTGCAATGGCTTTAACTCTTTTCTGTTAACTTTGACTTTTTAAAATTAAATTAAAGTTTTCCTTATTCAGTTCTAACACACTGCCCCCATTGTATCCTTTCCCCTTTCTGACTACCTTCACTACACCCAAGTTTCTGTGATCGTTTTTTTTATTCCTTTCTCACTCCTGACCTATTAGTGCTTGGATCAGCATTCCATTTGATATTTACCAGGTGTCCCCTACTTCTCTTCAGGAAATTGATCAATTATTCTCTAACTACCCTAGACACAGACTGTTTTCTCTGTGCGTGCTTTTATCCTGTCTTGTGACAGGTGGTACTATTTATTCCTTTGTAAGATTGCTTAAGACGAAGACTTTTAACAAGTTATTTATCATGTAGATAGAATTGTTGAAGGAAAGTTTCACTCCATAGGAAATTAAATAATGGAGAAAAACATAAATATTAATCCATAATTTATCAAAATTATTAAAAATTGAACATACTCTTCTGTTTACCAGTGTGGCAGTAACTCCTGCATGTGGTAGTACGATAACTGCATGTTTGGAAACAGTAATAATGTGTCACAAACTAGCAGTATAGGGCAAAACATAATCTTAAGAATTTTTGGTTTGGTATATGAATGTAACTGCTATAGCCACACATTCAAAAAAGGAAATAGACTGGTAGATCAAATTGCAGCAGTTATAATAGTATTGCATTCCTGTCCATAGCTGGGAAAAGCCTGGCTGCATTCTCCTTAACAGACTTGCTTTCCTGGCTGAGGAGATTCTACCTGAGTATCAGCATGGTTTCAGACTGCTCAGGGATACAATAGATGTGATCTTTTTTGCTAGACAGCTGTAGGAAGAGTGCCATGAGCAACACCAAGATCTTACGTGGCCTTTGTTGGTTGAATTAAAGGCCTTAGTCAGGTCAACAGAGAAGCTGCCAAAATTTGTTACCATTATCAGATTTTTTAAGATGGCTGTTGTCATGTCATCATGAAGCAGTGGCTTGGAAATGGACTCCTTCTCTATTAGAACTGGACTCAAGCAAGGATGTGAGGTTGCACTAATGTTCTTTTTTCCATCTGTATCGCAGCTGTGGTGCATCACATTGCTGATAGACTTCTATCTGGAATCAACATCCAATATTGCATGTACTGTTAACATCAAACAGTTACGGTCCAAATTCAAGATAACCCAATGTCTCCATTACTGATCTTGAATGTGCTGATGATTGTGTTATATATGCTCAGTCAATTGAAGAGCTCCAGGTCACTCTTGATTGCTTCTGTGAAATGTGTGAAATACTTGGGCTCACTCTCACAAAACTCAAGATACTTTACCAACACGTCCCAAGCCAAGTGCTGTTCCATGTATTACAATTAAAGGGTGAATGTTGAGCATTTTCCCTAGCTGGGTAGCCACTTTTCTCAAAAAGTAAACATAGATAATGGTTTTAAAAATGAACATAGATCACAGCCCCTAGTTCTGGTACTCCAGATTTACAGAGAGACTGGAGAACATTGAGTATTTCCCGTACCTCAGAAGCCATCTCTAGCAGAAGGCTGACATCAATGAAGAAATCCAACATCAGCTTAAAAATGCAAGTGCAGTCTTCAAATTCCTGAGGAAACAAGCATTTGAAGATTGCACCATCAGATTTGAAACCACGCTTATAGTTTATTGAACAGTTGTGATCTCCACCTTACTGTACAGAGCTGAGACATGGACAGTGTACAAGAGATGCCTCAAGTTGTGGGAGAATACTATCTACGCTGCCTGTGGAAGATCCTTGAAATCCAGTGGGAAGACAGATGCACCAACATTATCATCCTCTCAGAAGCAAATACACCATGAGCATTGAGGTGATGATCATCCAAAATCAACTTGGCTGGACCGGTTACATCATCCAGATGTCTGACTCTAGACTCCCAAAGCTAGTTTTATTTTCCCACTTCAGTCAAGGCGTACACTCAAGAGGCGGGCAGAGAAAGCTCTTCAAGCATCCTCAAAGCCAACTTGGAAAAAATGTAACATTAACATCAACTCACAGATGATTATCACCTAGGACCACTCTAGATGGTGGAAGAGTCTGCTGCAAGGATTTCACTACTTTGAAACCTGACAATGACAACAGGAGACAGAAAAGCAGGAGCAGCAGAAACAGCGTGTCATGGACTGAATCAAGAATCCAGAGCCACCCACCCTGCACAGAAACACGTACCTGAGTTGGAACAGTCTGTCGATCCCTGAATGGTCTCATTAGCCATCTAAAGCAATCATGGAAGACAATCATCCTCGAATGCAAGGGATTGCTGATGATTCAACACCAGATAAAATCTGCTGGTGCTGCCTTTGGATGTTTCTGATATCTTATCATTAATATCTTGGGTCTTTAAGGGACCCAAACCAAACTTTTCATCTACCAACTGTTGTCATCACTACCTTGTTGTATGGGTGCGAAACTTGGACAATATATCTGTCTTTGGAATATCCTCCATATCAATAGGAGGAACAGAAGAATTAATGTCATTGCTCTGGCTTAAGCAAACGCCACCAGCATTGAAGCCATGTTTATATGGCATTAGCTCTGTTGGGCAGGACTTGTCCCAAGGATGCCTGACAACTGACTCCTGAAATAGGTCCTATACTCCCAATTCACCAGTAGTCACTACTCTAGGGGTGGGCAAAAAAAGAGATTCAAGGGCACTTTGAAGGCTAATCTGAAGTACTGCAATATTAACATCAATACCTGGGAGACTCAAGTACCAAATTGTCCCCAAAGGCACAGTGATTTATGATAAGGGATTAACCATGTTGAGCAAATTCATCTCACTTTGGAGGTAGATAGATGAGAGAGACAAATAAAAAGAGCTGTGACCTGACATCACTAGATCTACTCCTTCCTCCTAGAGCTATTTGACATGTCTGTAGTGGAACATGGATTTCGGCTCAGCCTCCTCAATCATCTTTGGACTCCCCTGTGACTTGCATATTTCCCTTGTATTGAGGGTTGTATCAGATATAGTAATAAGGAGGCGATAACATCCATAAAGGGTTACAGGAAAAAATGTAACCCTGATCACTTGCAGGTCTGCATGGGGGAATGGAAGGGGCTACAGTTGTGGGCTGGGGCTGCGTGGGGCTCTTCCTGGTGTGTGGGGAGTTGGGGGTTGAGCTGGGGCTGCACTCAGGGCAGGTGATAGCGACACTAGGAAGGGGGGCTACAGGTGGGATACGATGAAATTTGGGGTGGCTGCAGCCCCCCCTCCCAGTGCCATCACCGTCCGCCCCAAACACAGCCCAGCCCCTGCCGGGAAGAACCCAGCACAGCCCTGGCCCCAACCCACAGATGCAGCCCACCCCGCCTGCACCCTGTGCAGCTCTAGGTACACATGCCCCCCCCACCCCCCCTGTGCCCTCCCGGGGTGCACGCAGCAGTAGGAGCCGCACCCCCCATATGAGCCATGGCTTGGTCCTGTGCTCTGTGCTGGCGGGGCAGCACCTGCCCCAGCCTCACTCCCTCCCTCACCACAGGGGCCTTGATCTGCCCCCCATGCCCCTTCCCTTCCCCCTCTTCCACTACAACAGACTTACTGCACACAGCTATGTCAGAAATTGGATCAGTATCAGCTGATGTGCCTCCTTAAAAATTGGCTATCGGTATCAGCCCCCAAAATCTCTGTTAATGCACCCCTAGTTTTAACTTGCATACAGGCCTAGGTTCCTGTTGAGGAAAGCACTTGAATTTGTCCATTTTTACCTGACTTTGGGATTTCCAGTGGAGTTGGTTCTACACATGCTGATGTGGTTTGTTCACTATCTCCCTGTGCCCCCAAAGTGTAGAGCAGTGGTCACCAACCTGGGGATCCCAACCGGCAGGTTGATCCTGAGCTGGAGTGACAGCTGGGCACGCATGCACACACCACCCCTAGCCTCAACAGGTTGATCTGTGGCAAAGGGAAGGGGTGGGGGCCAGATCGAGGCCCCCACATTGAGCGACTGACTATGTGACCCAGCCAGGAGCAAGGGAAAGTAAGGGTGGTGGGAGGATTGGAGCCTGGGGGATTCCCTCCCCATCTCTGCGGGGGCGGAGGCAGCATAGGCGGCTGCTGCTGCACCTCAAGTCATGCTGCAGCTAGCTACGTGCAGGCACAGCTCAGCTCAGCAGCGGGGACTCGTGGGGATGAGTCCAGCTGGATCTGGGAAGATCTGGTGGTCCAGGGCTGGGGGTGGGGTGTGCCCCCCCCTGTGCTAGGGGGTGGCAGGGGAAGGGTGTGGTAGATCCTGGGGTGCCCTTTACTTCCAAAAAGTGATCTTCACCATAAAAAGGTTGGAGACCACTCGTGTAGAAGGTCTTACATAAGAGCCATTTAGTCTCTGTTAGTGGAGGAGAAAGTAGTCACAGCATAGGGCTGTTACCTTTAGAAGTATTTGAATAAATGAGAAAACATTATATCATGTAGGCAACTGTCTGTCCTTCTGGATCATGGTATATGCGTGAGAGGTCACCAGGCCCTTTGATGCATATGTGTAGGCAGGGGAGTGGAAGGTGCTCAGACTTTCCATCCTCTGCGTAGGCTGTTGAGACAGAATCCAAAGGCCAGACAGTCTGGATGTTCAGAGCCTTGATAGCTGTAGTTATATGTGAACCTGGGTCAGGATTCTACCACTGAGCCACAACAGTGGGTTATTATATCATGAGTGTTCAAATAAAAGTCTGTCGTACAAAAATCAAAAGGTATTTTGGTATCCTTTTTCTTTTAATTTCGTGTGTGTCTGTGTGTGTGTGTACTTCATTTATTTATTTTTAAGTTTTACTTTATCTTTTAATTTGAGCTCCAGTAGAGTTGACTATCTTATGTGCTTTAGCTATGTCTGAAGCTTGTATTAAACTTTTAAAATTTTTTCTCTGAAAAGATTGTTTGTTCATTTGCTTATTAGAGAATCTCCTTGTTGTGCTGTCTGTCATAAATAAGTATTCCATAACATAAAAGAGGTTTTGCTAAAGTATCTTTGTGTTACTATAGAGTAATATTGTCAGTGATACGGTGTGGGTTTACACATTCATTAATGCTCTTTAGGTAATGTGCATTAAATCTAGTACCTTCATTGTGAGGGACTAGAAAATGTGCATTAGCCTATTTTAATGCATATTAGCTAAAGAGCACATTTTTTGTGATGCTTTAATGCACATGAAAGCACACATGTAGACATGCCCACAGAATAGTTTGTGCAAATGACAGGACTTTTAAAGCTTTGCAGTTTGCATACAGATTTGCAGGAAATTATTAGAGGACTTAAATGTACTACTTTGGTCAAGATTTTAGTCTGTATTACTTCATTTAGTACTAACTGATTAATATAAATCTTTCTTCTGTGGTGTTTATAATAAAATTTGGGAAATAGTCTGATTTCTTTGGGATTGTAATCACTGCCTCCATTCTAGGTCTGCCATACTTTAAAAATATCTTTAAAATATATCATTGCTGACTGGAAAGCTACTTTAAAAGGTAACATACAGGTTTATTCTTTCCTTTTCCAATTAGATGAAGAGCTTCCTGATTATATCATGGTCATGGTTGCCAATAAGAAGAGTCAGGAACAGATGACAGAGGATCTTTCCCTTTTCCTAGGAAACAACACTGTCAGGTTTACTGTATGGTATGTTTATCATTTACTTCTCCATGAGCATTACTTAATACAGTTGTTTTGTGAGTGCTTTCTGTAAATGAGGTTTGAGCTTATGAGAAATTGTGCATCTTATCACTGTGCAAATAACACTGATCAAGAAATGGGTTTTTTATATGTAAAGTGAGGCAGTATTGGGAAAATGGTAATCAAAAATTATTATTCTTAGCTTAATAATTAATTAATTATTATACTAACAAATATATACAAAAATAAGTGATTAAGAAGCTAGTATTCCCTCTGTATT